GTTTTTAGCTCATTTAGCCCCTAAATAAAATCCAGTGAAGAAGACCAGAAGATTTTTTCGCAGTATAAGTATAGCTGTGTGGAGAGGTTTTTAGAAGACAGAGCAAAGGCTTTGAAGGGGCAAAAGTTATATTTTCTGGACAATATGTAAAACAACATGTGTGGTTGAAACTATAACTGCACATCACCCAAAACAAACCACCCATCAGCAATGCACTGCTACAATCACAAATTATTGCATATAAAACTTCAAAAGAATTGCGCATTTATCATCCATTCAATCAAAAGTGCCTTAAGTGTTGGTAGAAAAATATGCAAATAAATGAACAAAGCATCATATGACCCATCTAATTTTTCACTTTGTTATTTATAATTTCTGCCTTTATAACCAAGAAACCCAGTCTGCTTTCAGCCTTTCTTCTTCGTCTACATCCCATTCCCACTGCTGTAACTGCCTACATTGTGAAGGATGAGGTCATTTGATTTTTTTCCCCACAGCGTTAAACTAGTGCTAACAAGTTGCAGGACCTACAGAACACGTTCTGTACATTAAGATATACATCAGGCGGTCGGTGGGCAAGCGAGCCACAACCACATAAAGGGCCCATTATTCCAGCCGGAGTCGCCTGCGCTGCACTGGCAGGTTCAGGCTCAGCTTTGATTACACACCGAATGATGAAATCCACACAGGCCTGAGAGCATAGCGTTGCTGGCACAGCCCAGTGGAAAAGAAAGTTGCAACACTCTGGTGTTTGTGTGTGCATAAATCAGTATGTATCCATGTGGATACTTGCACATATACTCACCAGTTTGGCTTCTGAGTGCATTGAGGGAATGTGAGTAGAGGAGCATGAGTTGCTGTGGGCGGGGCTCTGCATGCCCATCATGTTTGAACTCATAGACATTTGCCTCTCCATCTAAAGATAAAAAAAAAGTACAGTTTTACTTAAAGTGTCGAGCAAGCCACTCATATAGCCACTCATCCTCATTACAGCCACAAACCTTAATGCATTTAATTAGGATTTTATTACAAATGCCCATAGAGTAGGAAAAATTATAAACTTTTCAAGATTTTATGCAAATTCATCCCTGAAAAATGTGGTGTGCATTTTTTAGTCAGCTGTCTGATTCATTAGCTTGTCGAACCGTCTTTTGCTGCGAGCCTTTTGGCATGTTTCCCACTTTTCGGTGTAATAATACAAGTTCAGTCAGATTAGCTGGAGAGCATTTGTAAACATTGCATTGATCTGTAGCTGTTTTCATTTCCTTTCGCTTCATTGCAGACAGTAAACCCCTGGTGTGTGTGGGTCTAACACAAAAAAGAAAAACAACCAAATTAAGTTATTTGAAATTAGTGATTATTATGTGAGCATATCAAAAAGATCCACAAGAATGAATGCTACTGGAAGGCACAATATAATGCATACATCTGCTTGCAGAAATGTGTCTAATCCTTAGATTTTGCAGAGACACTATGGCGTCAGAGCAGAAGTGTGAGACTCTTCCTCGTGCTCGCCGGGCATACGATGGAGAAGACGAGAGAGTCTGATTTCATGACGGGCTGGCCCCATGCACAGCTCTGTGTGATTATAACTGGAGTTGACCCACAACAGGAAGCCAGAACAGAGGGACTTAACACAGGAAGCCAGTGCAAGAGGAGTTTGTGGTGCCTGTATGTGTGTGTGTGTGTGCGCGTGTTTCTGATGGTTCTGTGGTGAGTTTCTGTAAGAGGAAAACATCAAATATTGGTCAGTGTGACTGTATCATGTGTTGATGCAAAGAAATGGGATGAAATCAGGAGTATTAGAATAAAAGGAGGGTTTACATCTGCCTCAATGCGTGCAGACATGATTTGCCTCTGACTGACACCTCAAGCCTCAATGTGAGGAAATCAGCTGGGTAAACTAACAGGGGTGATAGGTCACTTATGCAGGGGTGATAATGTGAGTAGTGTTCACCATGAAATGTAAGCAGGAAAGAGAAACCTTTGTTTCAGCGTCTAAACTTATATATTTATACAATATATATATGTATGGGCCTCCATTGCAGCAGTCTCTAATCTCTCTGATTGTTGTGGTGGTCTCTGAGAAAAAGGGACCCCTCTTTTTGCCTCTTCCCCTTCCTCCACCCTGTGTCCGCAGAGACTTAGGTATAGAACCTGACACACAACCTTAATTGCAGTAAGAGTGTTTTGTGTAAAAATATCACCCAAACCTGCACCCCTTTCCTGAACCGTCAATCTTCCCCCCAAATCACTTAGCTCCTAATTTAATAAACATGGGAGGGACATTTTACGTACCATAAACACAGCTTGTCTTAAGTTACAATGAGAACATATGTTATATCCTGATGTAAGGAGCTTTCTGCACGTTTTTATTATTTCTGTTCACGCAGTGCTCTAATTCCTTTAAAGACAAGAGTTTAAAACCTGAATCCAGAGACAAATCATTAATTTCTGCAAGAGATGAATTGCTTTGCAGGACACAACCCTTAATAGTAAAAGAAAACATCCCAAATAGCAAATCCAAGTGCAGTACATACAGTGGACTCAATAAACTGGACACGCTCTGCAAACTGTTGTTAAACTCACAGGCATCAGCACAGCCGAGGAGCCGGGCATGGTGGGGTCTGGCAAGGTTCCAGGCATGGAGGCTGGCAGAGGCTGTCTCTGTCTGTTTCTTAGGTGCAGTAGCGAGGACAGGGAGCCTGGGACAGGCCTGAAAGTACACACAACACAAACACATTACAACGTCATTTTTTACAGTTAGACTGACTAATCTAAGTAGACTCCTTTAATCCAGCTCTGGATTAGTTCCCTAGTTTCTATGTTTGTATTTATATTTTTTCCCGTCCTCTTTTAATCTTATACCTACAACCTACAGAGTCTGCTATAATGACCCTTATCCAATAAATGTATGTTTTATTTGTGGTGAGCTTAATTTGAAATATTTATGTAGTGACCTGCATTTATAAAAATGTTTAGATCTGATTTCTAATCCTTTTTTTGTGAATTATTGGCTAAAAAACAGGTATTTAACTCAATACAAAGTTATGAATGGACCAGAGAAAATGTTGAATTATTCTATGTTGAACTATTCTATTCTATATATACTGATATGGTTAAATGTACATGGATGAACTTTTAAATATATTATTCTTAAAAATGTAATATTTTAGGGTTTATATGATGGAATATGAATGAAGGATTTCTTCATTAAAACACACCAGGAACAGTGCAATCATATCAGGCCCGTCCTTGCCACATGTGCATTGTGCAGGTCACAGCAGTGGAGAGCGGAGCAAACAGATGTGTTACCGCTGCTGATGCTACAACATGAGCTCCATCATCCTGACTCTAAGCGCATCCAAATCAAGTGTGATGTTGATTATAAAAATTGATCAGAACTCCTGATGGACACATTCATTACTATACTGCATGCTACGCTGGTGTCTCTTCTCAACAACTAAAGTATTAGTTCTATACTCATATGCTAAGTGGAATCACATTTTGCATCTACTACATCAAAATAGACTGAGTCTATAGCAATTGACAGGAGAAAAAATGATTTCACTTTTAAAAACAATCTCTGGGCAAACTGGAAATGTTTAAAAGCTGTGTGATTTCCTTGCCCCACTACTAGTAGGCAGTATGTTCAGTGAAACTCAACAACACATGTACAAATATTGATTAATACTTTAAAGAGGCATTACGGAGTTTTCTAATGACACTGCCACCTGTGGCCAAAACACAGAACTGCAGCACCCTTCTGCTCATTTTTGTAGCTTGCACTCGTATTTTGCCAAGTTTCTTTTTTTTTTTTTTTACTTGTTTCACCTTATGTGGAGTTGCCATCGGTGTATGAGTTGAGCTGGGCGCTTCTGAAAATCGATAAAAACCCATTTTGAATATAACGTTTCAATTGTTTGCTAGGCTGGACCCATTTATCCTAAACACATTTGATGCCATATTTGCAGAACAGAGCAGGAACTACAGAATCAGAGTGAATTGAGACAAATACGCAACAGACTTATAGATGGATTGGCGCTGATCTACTAAAGTGTCAGTCTGCTCATCAAACCATATTTTAGTTGTAAAGGGTCAAATAGAAAAAAACTTTAATTTTAAAGTTATTTTTCAGTAAAAAGCTAACAAAATGCCTCTTTAAAGATCATCAGAAAATTTAGAGTGGTGCATAAAAAAAGCATAAATTTTACAGAAATGGGTTCTTCTTCTTGGTGTTACATTTCTCAAGTTTAACAAAAAAAAAAGGAAGCAAAACAAGGGTTAACTCAACTCAACAAAGGGTCCCAGAACCACACATAGGTTGTCACCTTTTCTGGATGGATGGAAGTTGGAAGTTGTGAAGGTTTGAATAGCATTAGTGTACCTGACAACTTGTAGCTATCGCTTTTGAAGTTTATGATAAAAGTGCACTTTTGCTGTCTGTTTCATTTAAGGACCTCTTCAGCTCAGAGTTTGCTGTCGTTGAAATCCTTTTTGCGCATAGATAAAATGAATGTCATACTAGATGAATGACAACCTGGTCATACTAAATAAGTAATACTCTTTTTCTTAGACAACAATTGAGATGAGCATGTGACGAGCTCTGGGGCAGCAATAGAGGACAGAGGGGGAACATTTTCTTGAGTGACCATAAAAAAGAGTTTAGAAATACTGGCCAATGCATACTGGAGGCCACATCAATAAATAATATGCAGAGAGGCCTGCACTGAGCTTCAGCTAATGACAGGAATCATGTGTCAGTTGCATGGCTAAACCACACTACCTACATCTGCAAAACGTCAAATCATTTATACAACTGCCACTAAATCCCCACTTTTCAGAAGATCAGTTTCTGGCTGACTGATGCATGGATGCGTAAAATTACATTCAGCCTAAAAATGGCCCTCTCTACATGATTTTTTTAAATAACCCACAGTGGTAAAATCAAAAAATTTTCCAGTTATCAGTAACACCAGGATGAATGTAGCTGCTCAACGGAGTTTTGGGGTTTGTGAGATTCCAATAAAACTAGAACAGGGAAGAAGCATTTAGGTGAAGCATCTGAAATGAATTCATGAAATCAGTCGCCAGCATCACATTCTAATTTACCGTAATATTGAGCAGTGAAGGCTTGATGGCAAAATAGAAGGGTGCAACTGAGCCAACAGTCCCCCACCTGAATAAATACCTGTATTTTTCCAGACCTAAAACATGAGCATTTATGCTTAGACATTTTAGATTGCTACACACACACACGTTCACACACAGGACTATTACCTTCTGACTGCACGTCACTCCTGTCTAACATCCCAATTTATCACAATCACACCCATTTAACAGCACTTATGACACCTGAGCAATGCTGCAAATCCAACCATTTCCACATGGGAAAAGTCACATGAAAGTACAACGAGCAGCATTCACATTTACATCTACATTATTTCCATCACCACTCACACTTTGCAAATGTCCAGGAGAACAAAGTAGCAACAGGGTTGCAAAAGAAAAATGTAGCTTGTGTGTTAATAAAAAATAAGCCTAATGATTTTTCTTAATGCTCTGCAGACCTAAACTAAGAGCTCTGAGTGGGAATTTGTTCCAAAACACAGAGCAATTTGGATTTTATGACTGAATAATTCACTAAATCCACAAGAAGTAAAGATTTTTATTTTGCAGTTTTGTAAGGTGTCAAACTATAAATATTTATTTTCCCTTTCCCTTTAGTTTTATGGTCCTGCTTATTTGACAAATTATAATTAGTTAAATTATAAGTTCTACTTATACAACTTGAAAAGTGAATTAAAAAGGAAAAAATTATTACAACTGAAAAATGTGGCAAGACTTGTTTCTGGCTCTCTTTCCTTGGATGTCCTTAAATAAAATTTATCCCCCAAAGTTAACTGCAAACTCAAAAAATGTAAAAATTACCAAAACAACTTCCAACTTAGCTAAAGACTATGATAGGAGAGCATTAATCAGAAAAACAGAAATCCATCATTAAAAGAAAAGAAAACAGAACAAAACATGGAAAAAGGCACACTGATCTAATGACAACAGCACTATACTTTGTAGCTTCAATTCAAGACACTAATCTAACATCACTCATCAGCCTGAATACATAATATACCCCAATTACAGCTCGGCGGAGGCAGCATTATGCTGCAGGAATGCTAATATTTAGATAAGACAGGGACAGTGGTCAAAAGAAAGAGAGGAGTTAAAAACAGGGTGAGAAACAAAATCTCACTGGAACCATTGGCCTGTTCTGCAAGACATCTGCCACAAATATAAGGCTAAAAAAATCAATATTATAGAAATATCCTTTAATGGAGTAAACCAAAGCATTTGCATGCATTAGGTTGGCCCTGTCAAAGCCCCGGCCTAAATAAATCTGAGGATTAAAAATTATAGTCGAAAGTCCACGTAATGTGACCGAGCTAGAGATATCTGGCAAACAAGGGGCAGGAAAAGTTGTCCTTTGAGCCATTTAAAGGTTTTCCTTCTGCACTTCTCTGTAGCTAACATAAAGTTTGTGTTTTTCACCACTGCACAGACAAAAAAAAGTTCACCAAGTCTGATGGAAAAACAACATCAGCATCTGACTGTGCATCTTTCGTTGAGTTACTCTCCGCTGCTTTAACATGCTAAGATGTCTCCGACAAAAAAACATCCAGCTTTTTTTTAAAGTACAATTTAGAGCATTTATCTTATAATCTGATCATAAAAATAGTTTCTAATGAGCTGAAATATACCAAGAGCCATTCTGTTTCTTACAGTTTGTCAGTTCTGGTTCTTTTAATCCCCCTAAAAACTTTATAAACAAAGGTAATCTTCTGGAGTTGGTAAAATGGCAATAATAGCATGCTATTTTGAAAGATACATCTTAGTTGTAGTTGTGCCATTCTTTGGGCTGTGGGAACATGTGCGTATGTATATGAGTGAATAATAACAGCCTCTGCCAGATTGATAATAGCCTGTGTAGGGCCCTGGGGGGAGCAGGTAGACACTCCACAGCCCTGACCCTGCACTCTCACATTACTGAGTGCCTCGCTCTCATTCTCAATCCCCGTGCAAGAACCACCACCAACGCCGCCCACCTTCACTCCGCCATGACATCATTGCTGGATCTTCTTTCCTGCCTGAACCCCTTTTTTGTTGTTGCTTGTTTTGCTTTGCTCTCTCCTGTGACTGTCACTTTCCTGGTATTTCTTTTACAAGTTGAGATTTTTTTGGCTTTGTTAATCCAGTATAACTCTTTTTTGGGGCCCCCTCAGGGTGCTCATACTTGAACTCAAGTCTCTCTGCTCCAATCAGACCTGCAGTGTGCACACATGCATGCTATACCATCTCAGTCCCCCAACTCCAACTCAAGTGTGGGGACTTAAAACACAAGCGGCCTGGCCATCATCCAAAGCGACAGAGAGACGGAGAGAGGTTCACTCAGTCCACTGACTCACGTCCTTCCCTTTTTGACTTCACTCCAGCAATGATGTAATGCTCTTGGCTTTTCTCCCTCCCCCCACCCAGTGCCTCCATACCCCTTGATTTTGTCCCTCCCTCCTCTCCTCTTCTCTCCTCTGCTCCTCACTTTCCCTCTCTTTTTCTCCTGGACCCATCCAGCATCGCTGCACTGGCTCCTCACTGGGTGAAGTCACTGCGAGCTCAGGATAGACGCAGCAGCTAAAAAGTTTTGAACGTAACCAAAACAGCCTA